TTAAAATAATAACATTACTATGTATTCATGTTAGTATTTATATTTAAACATTTAATATATGTATATTTAACATTCATTTATTATATATAATATATTTAGGTATAATTATTACAATGATGATGATAATTGTTATGTTGATGATGATTGAAATGTATATTATTTTACAACTCATTTGATGTATATTTAATAATAATGTATCTAATGTCATATCAAATATATAATTTAATAATATTAATAATAATAATAATAATAATAATAATACATTGTAAGTATTAATATAAATAGTTATTTATTATTGTTAAAACAATGTATTATTATTAATATAATATACTAATATTATAGTATTAATATTTAACATGATTAAATATAATACATTAAATGTATAATGATAATTATTATTAAATGTTGATGATGATCTTGTTGTTTTAGTGGATTAAATTGTCCTGATTAACAGTTGTGGATTGATGAGAAAGGGGAAGTTACATTTCAGCCAATAGTTGTCATTTATTAGTAATCTTTCCATCAGTATGTGGGCAGCACTGTTAGTCGGTGTGAGTCACCCTGACATCAACTGTATACACACTCGCAGTCAAATTCAGCAGTACCTTTGTATATTAAGCGTCTTCTACAATAACATTTAATCATTTTACTGTCGCAAACTTCTCCGACACGAAGGTTGAGATCCAAATTCAGCTTTAATAGGGGCAATTCAGACATGTAATCCAATAGAGATTAGAGAATAGACAATAGAGAACTCCGGTAGCACAGAGCACATAAGGGAAGATAGACAGGAGAGCACATGGCACAGAAGAAACACAAGACAGACATGTGCTCACAATAAACAGAACTAGAACAAAGGACATGACAAACCGGAAATCTCATGGCTCTATCAGCAAGAATAAACTGACCGAAGTGACAGAACTATGACAGAAAGCCGACATATTACTGAAATATAATACAGTAGATCCTTTCATGGGGTCAGACTGTCCTGAATGCCCGAGGATCAAACTTCCTCGGAAATCAAGTGTCAGACCAAACGTTGACGTGTTTCAGTATAAGATGGAAAATGCCTCAGAGATAGACTTGTAGGAATATTACTCATCCTCCTAATCCTGTCTCATTTACTTAGTTCAGCTTTTATGAAAAAAATGTCAGAAAATAATATATTTAGGCTGATTGATGATAACTGTTGAGTGCAGTTCATTAAATGTTACCCGGTATCCTTTAAAAAAAATACAAAACCTCTTCTTTTTTTTCACACTGTTTTCATTTGCAATGTTTTCATTTACACAGGCATGTTGTGGTAAAAGTGTCCCTCCCGTGTGTTTACTCTCTAGGTCACAGCAGGCCATGATAAACACTGAAACTGTGTGTGTGCTGATTAAAGTTCAGTCAACTCATTTATCTGAAGCTGGTGTGCTGTCCTCATGTCATATTTATAGTTCTGCTTACAAACTTATTTTTTACCTTTTGTCATTGACCATCAATACTTCTAAAAAAATGTAAAGCCGCGTACACACTAGTGTGCCCATGACACCATGTTTTAGAAAGGTAAAAATCACAATAAATATTCCTTTTCCAGAGATAATATTAAATTATTCCTGGGGACTAGCTGCCTTCAAATATATTCTCATACTGTAGTTAGCGATAATGTATATACTTTTCAAAATGTCAGAACTGTTCATTTATAAATGGTTATTACAGTCAAGTAAAACAGTTTAAGCAGGGTTGACTCTATATCAAGGTCACTTTGTACAAAACTGTGCAGAGGACTCCACCTTCTGGACAATAAAAGGATTTGCACCTTTTGTGTTTTAATGTACATGTAGTATGTAAAATATTCATGTAATGCACCCTTTTTCACGAAAAGCTTTTGTAATAATATATATCTATCTATCTATCTATCTATCTATCTATCTATTTCTGTCTGTCTGTCATTATCTATGCCTGTTTATCTGTCGATACATCTATCTATCGATCAATCTATCTGTCTGTTATATCTATATATAGTTCACTTTGAAATAAATTTGTGGTATGTTTTTTTTTTGTATGTTGTTCTTTGATATTTTTAGGTCAAACCGTTCTTGTCTATCAGTCATATATCAGTCATATAATGCAGGTCTATGGTCACCACCTCAAAGAGAATGCACAGAGAAGTCCAAATTAAACATGATTTAAATGTAAGCGCCGGAAGTGATCTCTCACGCGTGAATGTCACTCGTTGTTTAAACTGCCGTAAAAGAAAACAATTATGATGGTTTAAACATCCCAGATAAGCGCAAATAAGTATCATTTTAATTAGCTATCTTACCTATAATCTCAGTTCTGTGCAAACAATGAGTGACGTACACACGCGCGAGAGATTACTTCCGCACTTGCGTAGACTGAAGCGCCCGTGCCCCCAGATCACTTGGACATGGCTGCAAATCATGTTTAATTACATGTAAATCATTAAATCATGTTTAATCTGGACTTCTCTGTGCGTGCTCTTTGAGGTGGTGACCATAGACCTGCATTATATGACTGACAGACAAGAACGGTTTGACCTAAAAATTTCAAAATTGAAACTACTGCGGAAACAAAGACACCTACATCTTGGATGCCCTTGAGGTAAGCTAAAACATAGCAAACATTAATTTCAAAGTGAACTATCCCTTTACCCACAATTAAAATACAGCACACTTACACTCGTGTTGTTACAAACTTTACATTCTTTCTTCTGCGGAACACAAAAGAAGATTTGTACAGGATGTTTGTAATCAGACACTCTTATTTTATTTTTTTTACTTCTACTAGGATGAAAAAAACAATGAAAAGAATTCTCACAAATATCCTCTTTTATGTTCCGCAGAGAAAAGAAAGTCATTTATGTTTGGAACAACACATGGGCCATCCATCAGTCCTAATGAGCAAATTGTTTCAGTCCAGTTTTCAGTTAGTTCAGCTTTTGAATTTACTCAGAGCCAATGAAAAAGTTACCAAAGTGAGCCAAAGTAACCACTGCCCTCAAACCGATGAAATCCTCCAACATATGGAAGAATTTTACCCTTAGAAAATTATGGGATTCTCCGGGAATTAGTAAAAGCAAACAAGTTTACAAGCGTGCCCTTCTTTGTGACAAATGAATCACTGTCTATATAGTGACTTTTTTTAACAGTGCAATTTGCACTGGTGAAATTGAAAGAAGCAGACAGTTTATCTCAGGAAATAGAAAACATGAAAAAGCAGCTAGAAGAACGCACAATATGAATCCTTTGGGATTATCTGTTGGAAATTTATAATGAAAAATCGCCTCTTGCCTTAAAGCAGGTATGTGATGATGTTGGACTCCCTGTCAGGGTGAGTAAAGCTATTAGACACTGAAACTGAACTTACTATTTACGTCACTACCAGAGCAAAAGAGCTCAAATCAGCAAGATTACTCTACTGTATCTAATGGAGACTACAGAAAATGTGCTCCACAGCAAAATTACACAATTTATTGCTAATTCATATATGACAGAACAATTTTGGCTTCTGTTACATGACATTTTTCTCTTCCAAACCCACTGTATATGCTATTATTTAAAAGGTATAAGTTATGAATACATTATCAGAGGCCCTTGCTGTGCTATTAGCATATATTTGAATAATCAATCATGGTAGTGCAGAGATGCATAATGATCTGAGCCCACAGAATTGGAACAGTTGTGTTGTATATGTTTGCAACATAACTTCATTAAACCACAATGTCTAAACTGGCTTACTTTGTTAACCAAAGCTGCATTTTGATATCATGACACTTTAGTTCCATGTTTTATTATTTAAGTAACTGATTTCCTCGTAGAATTGATACAATGGAGATTTTGAGATGCTTTTTGAGCATCATCAGTAGTAAATCAGGGAACAGTCATCGGATCTGTACAAAGAAAACCCCTCCGGGCCCTTTAGAGATCCACTGTCTGTTGGGAATCACTTGCAATCTATTTAATTTTTTAAAGATTGTCTTACACCGGTCTTTTTTTTTTTTTTTTTTTTTTTTTAAAGCCCTATGGAGTTTCTTACCACACATACATCATTTGCAGAATGAAAAACATTGTAAGAAAAATGGCCTTTGGGAAACTCTGATCTGTGATTTATAGGAGTATCATGGCTTCTGTTGTTTGCTTGTCATTCCAGTACAAAAACAACAGTGGCACTTCCTAAATAAGTGTGAATTAGCATCACAACACTTGAAGTCGAGCATTCAACTTGATAGTGTTTTAACTCAAGCTTCATGTTGTAACATAAAAAAACAACCACTCATCTTATTTGTGTTAGAATTGTTTTATTCTCTAGGATGCAATATTTTAATAAATAGTGCTATTTCAAAGTGTTGTCATTTAGAGAATAATTAGATTGTGTTTCTTTTAATTGGAACAGTGCACAAATGGAAATCAGTCCCTTGTGAAAAGCACTAAAATGACCCCATCTCAGTAATATAGCACATTATAGCACATAATATCACCCTTTTCATCTCAATAATGCCTATAGAGATCTCTTGGGTTTCTTTCTTCATTGCAAGAGATAAATGGTTTATTTTCTATCCATTTTGAGAAGAAAAAGCTTTTGCGGAACATTTAGAGCAACACAAATCACTGTAAAGTCTTGTTGAAATAATGAAGATTTCAAAGGATGATGATTTAAAACTATTACTGTACTTCGGTCTATTACTTTTGTGAATCTGATTAAATTCAGCTCCAAAATGCCTCGTTTTAATATCATTAGAGAACAATTCCCTTTATGTACAAAATAAAACGAGGAAATTTTATACATCTTCAGTGGATATTTGATTGACATTTTCACTTTAATACAAAATGTATATTTCTTACATGTACATTTAAATTAAAATATAAACACAATATTACAATTAAAATAATTTATTTAACACAATAACATATAAAACACATTTAAATAAAGCAAAAATTGTGCCCATTCTACATGCCTTAAATATATACATCAAAGTGTGCAGGATGTGAATGTTTTTTTTTTTTTTTTTTTTTTTTTGTAATTTAGTAAAATGCACTGTGGTTTATAGTAATCCATTATCAATATGTCTCTATCTGCACTGGTAGTGTCCATACCACTGTCATAAACGCAATGGATCAAGAGAAATGAGCAGATCTTGCTGTCATTTGTCTGAGACGGAGGGGCAGAAGCTGCCTTGACTTCCACAGAAAGATCCTCAGTTTCATGAGTAGAGATGCTCCATCAAACTTCATTTGTTCTTCATGCTAAGAGAGAAAGCAAAACAGATTTGCCTGTCATGCCTTTTCTTTAGTTAATGTTTTATATATATATATATATATATATATATATATATATATATATATATATATATAAATTTTTTTTTTTTTTCATTTTAAATCTTGTTTTTATCACCTTTACTAGTATTAAATTTTTCATCATTACTTTTACTCTAATTTACTGGCTAAATAGCCATCTAAAGTCACTATTCCACCGCCGGTCCAAACTGTTCTCATTGCTTAACCACTTCATTCTGTGGTGATCCGGCCCAGGCGAGAAAGGTTTGTAGTCGTGCCGTGCCGAACCATTCCTGACCGTTCGGCTCAATGGTAAAAAAAAAAAAGAAAAAAGAACTGCCTTAGATCTACGTGGCATTGATTCAACAAGGTGCTGAAAGCATTCTTAAGAAATGTTGGCCCATATTGATAGGATAGCATCTTGCAGTTGATGGAGATTTGTGGGATGCACATCCAGGGCATGAAGCTCCCATTCCACCACATCCCAAAGATGCTCTATTGGATTGAGATCTGGTGACTGTGGGGGCCATTTTAGTACAGTGAACTCATTGTCATGTTCAAGAAACCAATTTGAAATGATTCGAGCTTTGTGACATGGAGCATTATCCTGCTGTAAGTAGCCATCAGAGGATGGGTACATGGTGGCCATAAAGGCATGGACATGGCCTGAAACAATGCTCAGGTAGTCTGTGGCATTTAAACGATGCCCAATTGGCACTAAGGGGCCTAAAGTGTGCCAAGAAAACATCCCCCCCACTCCATTACACCACCAGCCTGCACAGTGGTAACAAGGCATGATGGATCCATGTTCTCATTCTGTTTACGCCAAATTCTGACTCATACCATCTGAATGTCTCAACAGAAATCGAGACTCATCAGACCAGGCAACATTTTTCCAGTCTTCAATTGTCCAATTTTGGTGAGCTCTTGCAAATTATAGCCTCTTTTTCCTATTTGTAGTGGAGATGAGTGGTAGACGGTGGGGTCTTTTGCTGTTGTAGCCCATCTGCCTCAAGGTTGTGCGTGTTGTGGCTTCACAAATGCTTTGCTGCATACCTCGGTTGTAACGAGTGGTTATTTCAGTCAAAGTTGCTCTTCTTGAATCAGCTTGAATCAGTCGGCCCATTCTCCTCTGACCTCTAGCATCAACAAGGCATTTTCGCCCACAGGACTGCCGCATACTGGACGTTTTTTCCCTTTTCACTCCATTCTTTGTAAACCCTAGAAATGGTTGTGCGTGAAAATCCCAGTAACTGAGCAGATTGTGAAATACTCAGACCGGCCCATCTGGCACCAACAACCATGCCACGATCAAATTGCTTAAATCGCCTTTCTTTCCCATTCTGAAATTCAGTTTGGAGTTCAGGAGATTGTCTTGACCAGGACCACATCTCTAAATGCATTGAATCAACTGCCATGTGATTGGTTGATTAGATAATTGCATTAATGAGAAATTGAACAGGTGTTCTAAATAGTCCTTTAGGTGAGTGTACATTTAGTACACTAATGTAATATAATATTGTGAAATCGTAACTTTTTTTATTTATTAGCATATTTACAATGTGACATTATGACTAGTACATAACTTAAGTCAAGTTCACGTAAAAAAATGTACAAAACCCCTTAAATTTTGAAGTACAATCAACTTATTTCAACTTATATTACGTCAAACTGACTTAAACATCAAAAATGAGTTGAATCTTGAATAACTTATAAAAAAGTTATTGTGATAAAGCAATATAAAAACATATGTAGTCAAATTATTTATCTCATAATTTTTTACGTGAAGATAAAAATTGCCATATTACGTTTATGCTGTGTACCTGCTAAATCTAGGATTCACTTTGTTGAGCCAATTTACGCGCTATACAAAAACACTCATGGCAATTAGTAATTATACGTTTTGCGAAATGGTGGCCAATTCAAAAATCAAAAAAAGTTTCCATACAAACCACATTTAACATTCATATAAAATCACCACCTCATAAAATAGTTGTTTTGCATAGTTAGTGCATTAACATCTTGCAGTATTTGTATGTGCTTTGTGTGAACTAAAAAAAAATTAAAAAAAAAACACTTTCAATTAGTAGTTTCACTCATTAGTAATCTCATTAACACTGATTAAGGGTGTGGGATTAGTGACCCAAACAGAACTCCAGCAGCGACACTCGTTGTTCTCACATTGATCCGCCATTGAATTTCCAGATCCGGCAGCAAACGCTCAATTGAGCCGAGTTCCAGAGATTCGGACAATGGCCTCCGGACAGATTTGTGACTCCTTGCACTCGGTCAAATGATTAGTTTAAATGTGTTTGTAAGGTTAATGGAATGGGGATTCAAAGAAGAACAAACTGGAACAACACTAAAAGCATGACATTTGGTGGCGAACGACCAAATCCCCTGCTCTGTTTGGCAGTGTTTACTGAGGTGAGCAGTTCAAAGGGAGTGTCTAAGCACCCATGACTAAACATGCTTACTGAACGAACGTTTCAAGCCCTGCGTGCATGAGTGATCGCTTTCCCAACCGTAGACACAAATAAGAGATATAAAGTATAAGAGACAACATCCAACTAAAAATGTAATGCTTAAAAAGGAACGTGATAACCTTTAATAAAATATTCACTTTAGAGGGGTTTTGTTTGTGAACAAATCTGTTTTTGAATCAATATAAGTGAACCATTCTTGTCCAGTACTGATTTGGTGCAATTATTGGTACAATTATTGGTGCTCAATTATATGGGTGCTCAGTTACAATAAATGGTAATTCAATGATGAAAACAGTTTTTGCTGCTTAATATTTTTGCGGAAACCATACTATAACTTTTTTCAGCATATTAGAATGATTCCTGAAGGATCATGTGACACTGAAGACTGGAGTAATGATGCTGTGAATTCAGCTTTGCATCACAGAAAAAAAAAATAGCATTTTTAATATATTAAAATACTGCTGTATTTTTTATCAAATTAATGCAGCCTATACAGCATAACTGACTTTTTTAAACACAAAAAATCTTAATTCTTCTAAACATTTAACCAATAGTGTGTGTTTAAAGTCGGTTTTAAGAAATCAGGTGAATCGTTTCAATGACTCGCTCATAATATGGAAAACCAGTCACTTGTCACCAACTATGAACTGTATAACCTGCAGAAACTGAACCAACAAATTAATTTTTTGTGTGAACAGATTCAAAAGATTTGAGTCTTTGAGATGAATATCTCAAAGTTGACATGACATGACTATTTTTGTTTATTGTTGTTTATAATAATAATATCGACATTTTTTTTTTCCAGATTTAGAGTAAATATATATATATATATATATATATCTGACTATCATCTGCATATCCAAGAGGAAATATATAAATGCTAAAAAGTAAGGGGCCTAACACTGAACCCTGAGAGACACCAAAATTTTAATTTCAACTGATCAAATCATTCAATGTATCCAAATATTCAAGACTGAAACTGCATACAAAAGTTTAGTAATATTAGTGTACTGTCGATTAGTATTATTTTCCCCTAAAGCCTCTCTCACTCAAGATTCAGCCACATTAAAACGTCAGCTCCTGTAATGTGCCTCAGGGTCCCATTCGTTAAGGGCCGTCCTTGTGTACGCTCATTGCAGCTTCTTCTTCTGCATGCTTATGAACACATCACGCAAGGAGAGAGGGTGGAATAATTCCGCTGCGTGCCACTCTCTGACAGCTTGGACACGCCTGCCGGTTCCCATCATGCATCTCACGTTCCTTCACCTTCATCTCTACCTAATTAACATTCCATGCATCCCAGCACGGTATGCTCTGACCTTGCCTGCTCCGATGCAGCCTTCCCATGGAAACTGTACGGTACCGCGAGGACATGGTCCAGTCAGGCGGAATATTGATTCAGAGCAGATATTGATCGCGTATACAACACTCCATTAACTTCTCTCGCATGAACACAATGCAAGTTAACACCTCGTGCTTGTTGTAATGAGTACTGGTCTTGCGCACTTCCATATTGTAGCATTTTACAGTGTCCAAATTACAATGATTACATGTCAGTTAATTAATAACAATAGCAACTACATTTATGACGTCTCTGAATGCTGAACATTTTTTGTGGTGGAGATTTTGCTTCTCACCATTTGGACTGACAGTATTATGCCATTTTACAAAGTCTTGATTTTGTTTTTGGGGTATACTAATGGGATTTATCGCAGCACCCCTTTCCCCAGTCTGTAACACTCTGTTTAGTTCCCATCTCTATGAAGCCCCTCCATCCGAAAAGGTGCTCTGATTGATTGGTTGGAACAGTGTGTTGCGATTGATCAACTGCTTCGAGAGTGTTTCAGAAATTCCCTTACCATAACCACCAGTTTCAACGCACTATCAAACCTCAACTCGACCTCGTCCCTTTTTTGTGTGTGTCGGGTATGGAAGCTAATAAAATAATTAGTATGGAAAATAACAAAACTATTTAAAAGATAATTGCAACTCTTTATCTCACTTTTTTCTTACAATTGTGAGGTTACTTCTCAGAATTCCCAATTCTGACTTTTTTCCTCGCAATTCTGACTTTTCTCGCAATCCCGACTTTTTTCTCGGAAGTCTGACTTATTTTCTCGCAATTCTGACTTTTTTCTCGCAAGTCTGACTTATTTTCTCACAATTCTGACTTTTCTCTCGCAAGTCTGACTTATTTTCTCGCAATTCTGACTTTTTTCTCACAAGTCTGACTTATTTTCTCGCAATTCTGACTTTTTTCTTGCAAGTCTGACTTATTTTCTCGCAATTCTGACTTTTTTCTTGCAAGTCTAACTTATTTTCTCGCAATTCTGACTTTTTTCTCGCAATTCTGACTTTTTTCTTGCATGTCTGACTTATTTTCTCGCAATTCTGACTTTTTTCTCGCAAGTCTGACTTTTTTCTCACAATTCTGACTTTTCTTGCAAGTCTGACTTTTCTCGCAGTTCTGACTTTTTTCTCGCAATTCTGACTTTTTTCTCGCAAGTCTGATTTATTTTCTCACAATTCTAACTTTTCTTGCAAGTCTGACTTATTTTCTCGCAATTATGACTTTCCTTGTGTAACGGAGGCCAGCTAGTAGTTGCTGTGCAAGTAAGCCTCCTTGTTAGCGCGCCTGACTCTCATGCCGGAGACCCGGGTTCGAGGCCTGCTCGGAGCGGGGCGAGTAGGACCTGGGTGTGAGGGGTTACACTTGCAAGTCTGACTTATTTTCTCGCAATTCTGACTTTTTTTCGCAAGTCTGACTTATTTTCTCGCAATTCTGACTTTTTTCTAATAATTAAGATATAAACTCGCAATTGCGAGTTATAAAGTTCAGTTATGAAGAAAAAAATCACGCTGTTTATATCACGCAATTGTTTATATCACACAATTCTGACTTTATAACTCGCAATTGTTAGTTTTTGATATTTTTACTTTATAACTTGCAATAATAGAATATCATACAATTCTGAGAAAAAAGAATACAATACAATTCTGAATTGTGAGATAATCTTTTTTTTTATCTCAGTAATTTCAGCAATTATTTAAAAGAAGAATATTGTGACATTTTTGTTCCCAGAAGAATCCTCAAGACTACAATCGAGGCATTTCAGGGAGTTCAGAAACAGTGCTTACTGATATAGAGCGTTCTTTATAATTTTGCAGACCATTTTTAAATGCTCAAACAGCAACATTGCACAATAAAGAAATTTGAAAATATAAAAAAAGCATAAATCAAATCTTTTGAACCTGTTCACCAAATAGATTTGTTCATTCATTTACTGATTCCTTCAGTGGCACTTTCTGAATTGTTACACAAGAATGTGACTACCAGTGAGTGTCTTTTTGAGTGTGATGTGTGAGTCACTGAATCATTCGCCAACCTTATTCGCCTAGTCTTATTATTCTTTATTAAAATTTGGTTTTGATATTACTTTAGAGATGTATTTCCTGTCACATTAACATTATGAGGTTCACTGCAGGTTTACCTTTCGATTCTTGTCTATTTTTTTTTTTCAAGATGACATGCAGTGGCTGAAACTCACTTGTTCTGGTGTTTGGAGCCCTGCAGATGTGCATGATATTGTGCCACGGAGTTGAGCGTAACACTGCAAACCTCACATGTGTGACTCCGCTTCGGGCCTAAGAGCATACATAAATACATGCACATCTATTAGACTAGAACTAACTGTGCTGTTTCATACAAACCAACAGCAAATGACCTCAAATCTTCTCTTCTCAGGGTAAATACAATGACTTATTTAGACGAACGCCAACAGCTAGAATCATGAGCATATGACCATCTCTTCACAGTACATAAATTACATGAGGTAAATTAGCATACAGCCTGAATACAGCACATCGGTATTCTTAAAAAAACAAAAAAAAACTATGCAATACCATAATGGACTGAGAAAGCATATTGTTTTTACACCTTTTGGATGATGTGAAATTCACCCTAAATTATAGATCCTTACAATATACTATTGAACATAACCATTGAGACTAATGAGAATAAACCAAAAATGCTTAATTATCAAAGTAATAATGTTAGAATGGTCCTATAAATAGATATACATTTCTTTAACAATTTAATTTTAATGTAATAATAAAATATACAACCATTCCTTTTGTTTTTTTAGTGAAATATAACGTGGACTTGCTTCTGTGACATTCAGTCATATATAAAGGCATGCAATGCAGGAATCCATGCTCCAGTAAACAGGTTATGCATGAACCATATATATATATATATATATATACTGTATATACTGTATACTGTATATAGTTCAGATGCAAAAGCCTCTAAGTGCCATTTGAAATTTTCTTCTAGAATGATCAATTTTATCAAGCTTGTATATTTAAGTTCAGTGATTTCACTTAAATGGCAATGATAATTACCTATTAATTGTTATTTAAGTGAAATTACTGAACTTAAATATACAAGTTTGATAAAAATCATCATTAAAGAAGAAAATTTCAAATGGCATTTAGAGGCTTTTGCATCTGAACTCTTCATATATATATATATATATATATATATATACATGTGCCTCCTTCACACATGAACATAAGCTTATGTCCATACATGACAATACACGTGGAACCATTTAGCGTGTGATGCGATTTACCATGGGGAGAGATGGGTGGTGTTAAATGACCCTTACATATGTCACATCACATGTATGCAATATGCCCAAAAGCAACAACCTCCTTAATTTAAACAAGAGGAATCTTTTGTTATCCGTGTATCTGAGCAATCGGGCCAGATAATAAAAGGAGCCTCATCACCACGGATCTATATTCAATCAAAGTCATACATTTAGTTGGCCTCATCTTTGCAACCAAGCTTTTCTTTGGCATTGTGCATATTTGCAATGATTAAAAACACAACAGAAGGGGCCGTGAAATACACAGATAAGCCGTATCCTCCCACAGCTCCGTCTTCCTACACCAAACCTGTTCTCCGCCTTTAACTAGGACAGACCAGTAAATTATAAGCTTATGTGAAGCTCGAAAAATCAGTCGCTGGCTTCCTGTGAGGTGGGACGTCAGACTGAAACGCCATAAAATGGGATTCCGTTGTTATTGAGCATTGTTTCAGCCCCCTGCTGTTAGCACCACTAACGGCTTTTGAACAGACAATTGCTTGAGAGTAGAAATAGCATGTCAAATACTATTCTAGTCTACATTTACATAAGACTAATATTTTAAACTCACCACACTATAGCAAGCACACCACAAAAATAGTGTTTTCAATCCCGAGAGTGCAGTACTGGGAAGCCTTAATGAAAACTGCAGCAATGAGTCATATCTATGAGTCACAAGCGTTGACATGAGGAACAGGACACTTCAATATGAATAGAAATCCAACATTTGGCTAAATGGCAGCTGGTAAACACCTCCCACGAAATGGTTCTCGTCCCTTTGCGCGTCAACTCACCAACGCTTTGCTGTCTGCAACTTCAGCCATTGACGGTTTGTTTGGCGAGCACAGATATTGTGCTCGGGGAGACTATTTGCCGTGCCTTTTAATTACCTACTGATATCTGCCTTGTACGAAAACTCTTTAGCTATCTGCTGAATAATGCAAATCGTTAATGAAATGCCTGCTTGTGAAAAGACTCTAAGACCATTAAAATGCTTCTACTGAGACCTGTAAAACAGTGGATGGTCAATGGCTTAAGATAATATCTGTGCTTAAATGGTGGCATTTACGACAGGGTTATTCATGAGCCATTAAAACAGATTGATGAAAACAAACATCATTACAGTTGAATGTACTTTTTTAAAGGGACAGTTCAGCCCAGAATGAAAATTCTGTCATATTTTAATCACCCTCATGTCATTCCAAACCTATAAGGCTTTCATTCTTCCACAGAACATAAAAGGAGTCACCCTTACATGAAATACAATTTCAGCTTTTAAGCTTAAATAAAATACAAATCATAAAACTGGTGCGCTATTCCAAGACTTCTGAAATAATACGATAGCTTTGTGTGACTGAAATTTTTAAAAATTCGACTGGAAATTTTCCTGACCAAGTCAATCAGTACAAGAATAATTAAGACCAAACGATTTAATGAAAAGAGCCGACTAAAAAAACATTTTTTGATTAGTTCATTACACAAAGATATTGAATTGCTTCAAAAGACTTGGAATATAGTGCACACAAAGTGGCATAGGTCACTTTTTTAATAGTTGAATGGAATTTTGGATCCTTTTTAAAGCTCCAGACCTCATTTATTGTAATTGCTTTGAAAAACTCAGAATGACAGACAGAATTTATGACAGAATTTTCACATTTGGGTGAACGATCCCATGTTTTGTCTGTTCCTATCCGAACATACCGTTTAGTTCATCTCCGTCCTCCAGACTTTTACCCAGCTGTGCGAGGAGGTTAGCTTGGGCTGCATTTTTTTTGTGCTTCTTGCCTTCATAGTGCTGTCTAGCCATGCCAGGGTTGTTGAACCAGGCCTTGCACATCTGGCAGTAACGGTGTGAGAGCCTGCCATGTATGGAAGGACTTCCCGGGGAATCTTCCGTCAACGTATGCTCTGAACTTGCTGTCACCTCTGCAAGAGGGCAAAACAGACTTAGTATACTTGGTGCTCTGTTCATGTAAGGGATAGTTCACTTGGAAATGAATTTTTGCTATGTTTTAGCTTACCTCAAGGGCATCCAAGATGTAGGTCTCTTTGTTTCCACAGTATTTTCAATTTTGATATTTTTAGGTCAAACCGTTCGTGTCTGCCAATCATATAATGGAGGTCTATGGTCACCACCTCAAAGAGCATGCACAGAGAAGTCCAAATTAAACATGATTTAATGACTCGTAAATGTAAGTACATATTGATGGCCCAAGACACAAAACGAGCATTTTGTGTGAGAAAAACGAACAGTATTTATATCGTTTTCACCTCTTGTAAGGTAAAAACGATTTATCTCACACAAACCGCTCATTTCGTGTCTTGGGCCATCAACGTGTACTTACATTTACGAGTCATTAAATCATGTTTAATTAGGACTTCTCTGTGAGTGTTCTTTGAGGTGGTGACCATAGACCTGCATTATATGACTGATGGACAAGAACGGTTTGACCTAAATTTATCAAAATTGAAACTACTGAGGAAACAAAGACACCTACATCTTGGATGCCCTTGAGGTAAGCTAAAACATACCAAAAATTAATGTCAAAGTGAACTATCCCTTTAACAGGCTACAGAGAAAGACTATTTGTGTAAACAAAACACCATGACTGAGAGAGAAACTGAGCTTTATACAGGAGATGCACAGTTGTGGTCACAATTGTTGGCATCCCTGGTAAATATGATCAAAGTGATCAAAATATGATGGCTCAAAAAATAAATCTGCATTGTTTATTATCCTTATGATATTTTATAAAAAATAGCAACAAGTGAAGTGAAAGTGGGGGTAAGTCACAGTATGAAATAAAAAAATAGAAATTCTCCAAAACACACTTGCCACAGTAATTTGCACCCCATGTAAGCAATAAGGTACGAGAGGCTGCACAACGCGAAGCGGAGAAACCCCTTCAGCCATTACTTATTTACGATACAGCACTCGCCTCGAGTACCTTATTGTTTTTATAAAACAGTTACCACACAATAAAAATATTAAAGTAAAAAAAAAAAATGTATTAGTGCAACTTTCATGAAGTAAAATCACTAAAAAGCCTTCCTTCCGCTAGAAAAAAAAATAGTCCCTGACCGGGAACAGCAACAACTTTCCAATGTGTTATATGCAGAGCCGGACAGTAACAGAGTACATTTACTTGAGTACAGTACTTAAGTACAATTTTGAGGGATCTGTACTTTACTTGAGTATCATTTTTGGGGAGTACTCATGACTTTACTCAAGTACTTTTGAGAGGGAAATATTGTACTCTTTACTCCACTACATTTCTGTCCATAACTGTAAGTACCCGTTACTTCTAAAAAAAATAATGGACAAAAGAAAAATCTCGGAAACCCTCAATTTGTTGTTTCCCTCTCAAACGTGATTGGATTGTGTAGGTAAATAAAATGAGAAATGGATATAACATTTGAACTGTAAGGCTGGCTGTAATCTTATGTTGGGAATGTTGCGAATGATTTAAACTACAAATATGTTTTGTTTATTTTTCTTTTGTTGCAAAAATCTCATCCTTGTTGGACTCTATTAATAAATAGTTTGATCAACAAATATATATGTGAATGTTATGTATACATAACATATATTTGTTGATCAAATTATTATATTATATTATTATAACAGCCAGCCTTACAGTTCAAATGTTATATCCATTTCTCATTTTATTTACCAATATCGGAGTAACAACAGCAGGTGTGTGACAGCATTAATAACACATATTAGAATTTTGGAGACATGCATACGTGATTCTATTGACATTTCTTTTGCTTCTGGTCTTTCTGTTGTCTAGGCATAGGGCACAGTCTCGTGTCAGTTTGAAATATTTCATGGGTAAAGGCCGCAAATTAGGAAAACACAATGTCCCCTGTGGCTGGAACTTAATATGGTGCATTCTGAATCTCATGACACTAATATGATCAATTTGTTTCATAAACAGACGGGAGGTAATTTGTCTTGCACTAGCAGGTGTAAGCTTCTGTTTTCTCTGTTTGTTTTTAAGAAATGCATTTTTATTACAAAACTAAGAAGATGCTAATTATGCTCAGTAATAGTAAACGGTAAGACTACACTGACAGCGATCCTGTGTCATAACATGTAGAAAATAGGAACGGTGAATGGCACAAATAGGGCGTCTTGGCTCTTCTCCTGTTTTTCAAATGGAAGATAGATCCTGGCAGCTCTACAGGTGTATTTATAGAAGGTGTCAACATAACTCGATAATAGAAGCATTCTTTTTCCTTTTTTCCTTCTTCCTTCTGTCTCAGGTTCCCTGAGGTGTTTGAATGGAAGGTTGTTTTCATTATAACACATAATCAGAGTGTGATATGAAACACTACCGTGACAAATGTGGTCTGAGACCACAAGTGAAAATGGTTATATTTAGCTTTTCTTTTTCACAATTTAACATACAAATGTTTCAATTGCAATTTATGTTATCAACATAAAAATTGGAGAATTAGAACTTCATATCTATTTGGTATTTCGTGTTATATTAACATATATATGCCATTTAAATGTTTTTTTCTTTTCTCTCGCAATTGCAAGTTTATAAAATTCTTACTGGCTTTTGAACAGTTTCTTCTGACATTCTGTCTCTGTTTATGGGAAAGGCGTGTAAGTGCAAAAGATCAACATAATTTTATGTTATCATTTGGAGCTTTAATAATCTTGTTCAAATTAGCATTACAGTAATTGTACAGATCTGCAGTGGACCGGTTTAATAATGGCAATGACACTCAAAGGTAATTTAATAAAATTGTATCCTCATCTCCATCCTTGACCATGTCCATTTCGTCTACACATTATCATTATAGAGTGGTGCAGGAGTGACGTCAAAACCGGGAAGTCGGAAGTCTAATTCGCCACTGGATCCCTCGAGATTTTCTTATGGGGGTTTAAAGGGATACTCCACTTTTTTTGGAAATAGGCTCATTTTACAACCCGGCCCCCCCCCCCCCCCCCCCCCCCGAGTTAAACAGTTGAGTTTCACCGTTTTCAAAAATTTCTGATATTTAGAAGAATATCATTAACCAGACAGTTTCTGGTCTCATTGACTTAGATATGGAAGTCAATGAGACCAGAAACTGTCTGGTTAATGATATTCTTCTAAATATCAGAAAATCGGCTGAATGGATTCGAAAACGGTAAAAGTCAACTGTTTAACTCTGGAGGGGTTGTAAAATGAGCCTATTTCCAAAAAAAAAGTGGAGTATCCCTTTAAAATTGGGGTTTTCCGTTTATGATTAAAGTAAGGTCTGTGTTAAATATACTTGGACGTTTTGTCCTGCAACGTAAACTGCACACAGTCACACCCCAAATGCTAGTTACTTATAAGAAATATGTTTTCAAAAATAAACATAACTGCCTCAAAATTTGAGTTTTTCACCACACATGTAAAATCATCATCTTGTAAGGCCTTTATGACGGTGGAAGCAGCCGTATAGCAACCGTCCAAATGTAACTGAATAATGCTGAGCCTCTACTATGACTGCTGAACAAACAACAAAAGGACAGTTTCTTGAACCCTATTATGGTTTCTAAAAGTTTTTTAATGGTGTTGCTTAGTGAGGCTTGCTATTTGAACAAACACTTTAAAAAATCAGCACGCAACTCGTCCCGCACCATTTGTGCTGTGGACATAAAAGCACATTAAATCATGAGACTTGTTGATGAGCGGTGCGCTATTACTTTCTTATTACTTAGTGATTGGACATAGGATTGCCGCCTGATGTGGACGATAAAACAGGCATAGCTCACGTTTTTTGCAGAAAATGTCAAGTCTAGTCTTGCGAATGGACTTTGGATAAAACATAACAACATCAAGAGGTTCCTGTCTTTTGTCAATAACAAGTACACTCCTACTTTATCTGTTTCTGCACATCCAGCAGTTATTTTGGATTGTTTCTGAGCTCTTTCCATTTGTTTCTTTGTTGTGTTCTTTCGCACCCTCAGGTACCTTGGCCACGCGCAATTATGCATGCTAAGTGAGTCAGTGATGTGTTGTCCCTGCTAAAGGCCCTGCTCTTTTCATAAACATGCTACAAGCGACAGTCTCGAGAACACAAACCTCTGATATGCCTAATGCACTCACATTTGGGTGAATGAAAAACATGACATCCAAGTATACTGCAATATTCTGCAAACTTGTGAAACTCACTTGTCAACTTCATCATTAATGTTACATTTTCTGAAAATGTGTGTGCTGATCCAAGAGGTATTCTATCTATCTATCTATCTATCTATCTATCTATCTATCTATCTATCTATCTATCTATCTATCTATCTATCTATCTATCTATCTATCTATCTATCTATCTAAGTTCTTCTCAATAACAAATTGCCTCATTATCTAATATTCAGAGTCTGTCCATGGCTAAACAGGTCACTTCCCCACTGACTGCTTAAGACGTCATATGTGTAAAACACATTTGAGTATGAATACTGATCCAGGAACAGCTTGGGCTTCATTATTATGGTGATCTAGTCAGTGTGGAGCTGATCTTAGACCTCTACCTTTAGATGTGATGGCAGGTGGTTCCCCCAGCAGTAGCCGTAGTCTCTTGGCATGGATCTTGCCCTGGTAGTGTGACTGGGCCACTACCGCTGAAGTGAACGACATATTGCACAGCGTGCAGCATTTGTTCTTGTCCACGTCTCCCTCCGCACTGCCCTGGGACGACACAGAGACAGACACATTCTCTGATATCCTTTAACCGGGACCGTTTTTCATCTTCAGTTAATAATAATGGAGAACAGAATGATTTATGAAGCAAATGTGTTGTATCATAACTTTAGGAGGAAGATATGAAATTTGGCTGTCAAATTGGCAGATGTGGGTCGCGCTGTGGAGAAGTAATTTAAAAACTTCTAAAAACGGTGTAGCATATATTCTACTTCCTGAACTGATGCAACCACTCTTGAGTTTCTCATCTTGACTGAAATTTGTCTCTAAACACTGTTGTGGAAGTCAAATCGAAACTTTCGGTAAAAGATAATTGTTGCTTAAGATGCATCTATCTATCTGTCTGTCCGTCCAATAAATAGAAAAGACTACACTTTAATAAATAAAAAAGACTACAGAGCAGAGGCTAGTTGTTGGCTTTTTTTCTAAATAAAAATAGGTAAATGTATTTTTGTCTATTTAAATTCTATTTACAAAATCACCACACAATAACGGTCAATAACTGTAATTTTTTGAAAGCTAATCTTTTTCGAAAAAAAAAAAAAAAAAAAGATGACACCTTGCACTTGAAGATGTAAAAAAAATCAAAATGTGAGAAAAACACCTATTTTAGCTTCAAGTTTTATAAGGAATAGTTATGTCATTTTTAGTTACAATCATGTCATTTCAAACCTGTATACTGTTATTTTGTATAATACAAAAGAAGTGTTTGAAGAATCGGTATGCAATTTTTGCAATATAACAACAGTCTATAGTGACCATGTCTGTTAAACTTCAAAACGTATCTTAATACAATCAATGAGATGTCATTTGTGGTAAGAAAATCTTAATCTAAATTTCTGAAAAAAGACATGATGATGAGTGACCTACATTTTTTTTTTATGCTCCATACATTAAGCATTAAATAATGAGAACCCGATTGACTTTCTGAGCTGTAATTGTTCTATAACCCTTGAGCTTGAACTGGGGTCTGTCTTCCCTCCGCAGGGCATTGATCTGTGTCCACTCATTCTGTTTCTTGTTATTCCTCTGCTGACACGCCATAATGTCTTTATTTACTCTCCCGAGGGAAAAGACCTCACCAATGTCCAGCTAAACCGTCAATGTCCATTTAAATATTGACCTTGATTGAAAACAATGGAGCAAGCATCTCTATTATTAATTTCAAGCAAATTCTTTAATATTGCTAGCAGTGAAAAGACAAAAGAAACCTGTGTCTAACTCGCATTATGAGAGTGAGATGAACCAAAGAAATACATGAGGAGCAGAGACTCAAATGTTTCTAGATGCTTTATAGTTGTGTCTGTTTTAAATATTTTAAATTAAAATAGACTTTTTAGTCTGTTTCAAAGTCTGAAACAGACTTTGTTCTACAAGCGAATTCCTGTCAATATATAAATACAATTTTGTAAAATATTTTGTAGAGGAAACAAATCATGCAAGTCTGTCACAGATTTGTTTGGGTTTTTTAAATGTAATTTGCTTTGATAAGAAAGTCACTCAAGAACAATGCTTGCACAAATATGCCCAATATATCAATTCAAAATTAGCAACACCTCAACTAGTTTTATAGCAGTCATGAAACCTCTAGACCTTCAGCAGTCCAAACCCCAGACATTCACAAGCCATGTGTGACATAACCTTGTCATGTGAAAGTTGTTACAAAATATATTGGGTCATTCTTCGTACTTCTAAAAGATCCACTTAATCACTAAACCCCAATGATAGCCTGAAATGTAAGAGACGCGGGACTGGGCAGAAGTAATATGCTTAGACGAGCAGGTCATCCATGTCAATCAATATGTTGTGGACATAAAACCGTTTTTCCTGGTAGCTACATGGGCTCCTCAATGGAGTAATGAAACTGCCAGCTTCAATTTTTTAGAAGGAAAGTGGCTTGGAATTGGTGCTAGTGTATATATACTGTATATATATATATATATATATATATATAATATATATTCCTGCAGTCAAATTCAAAAAGCATAACTAGCAACAAATTCTCTATCAGTCCCAATGCATGTACATTTAAAAAGCCATATGTAGGCGTATTTCTTCACTTACATTGTCTGTCCGAAGTTTCTTTGCAGGACAGCCACCATCCACTGGGTGTAACATGTAATACAGGCGAACTTTGTTTGCATGCTTTCGACTCTGCAAGAAATGAGATATAAAATAGCCAGTTTAATTCCAGTGTAGACAAAAAAGAAACAGCTTGCCATTGATTATCAAGGAAAGCAACGTCAGACCCGACCCAAACAATTCTCATCAGGGCTACAGGAACAAGATTATGTACTACAGCTTTCATTTCTCAAAGCTTGATGTGCCCCTCTGAATGATTTCTCTGGTGGGTGGATAAAGGTCTGTATTGATTGTTGTGTAGCAGATGAATGCCCAGACATATGAGCAGTGAAGAGGCACCAGAGGGTTCTTCAATCCATTATCAAGAAATCTGCCCCAAAATGGTAAATGTCCATAAAAGCCACCATAAACTAAAACGTTTTGTAGCAGTTATGGTGCCTGCAAGATGAATGATTTTTGGAAATCTAAAAGGCAGAAAGATGAATAATTAGACATCAAAGAAATAGTTCACACAATAATAATGAAACCTCAGGTCATGAGAGATTTTGCAGAAGGTTCCTGGTGGGCCTTTTCATGAATGTAAATGACAAAATGTGTTGTTTACGAAATTAAAGAATTGTCTTTTACATTGACACAATACTCAAAATAAATTAAAATGTTATCTGAGGATATTTACTTTATATTAAGTTGACAGCGTATCTTCTATCCAATTTTACAGTGATGTTAAATGTATAAAACTTTCAAAAAAAAAAAAACTTGGTTATTTCTTACCCTTTAAGGCTGTCAGTTGAATAAATAATTGTAATTAATCTCAGGATTTCCTATTTTTAGAGCAGAAGGAAACAGTATTTACATTAAAATCAGTGTACTTTTTAAAAACATATTTATTTCAAAATTGATGTAATTAATAATTGTAAGCCCTCAAAAAAATCTATCTAGTCTTTTTTTTCCCCCTCAAATTTACTCCAGATGCCAATTGAACTACTTTATGATGTTTTTTGGCTCATATTCATCTTCATCGTATGGAAAACAACATTCTGCGAAATGTTTTCTTTTCTCTAGATTATTTTTAGCTGTATATATTTGAATCCTCAAATATATGGTGTTTTGTACTTACAATACAGTATATGACTTTAGTAAATTCAGTAACTTGAAGTCATTTGAAATGCTTCATGAGATATTTCTTCAAGACGCACTATACTTTAATGTTGCTTTTTAGGCTCTTTGTACGAACAACGCCAGCTTGAATATTGTGCTAACTTCTCCATTTATGGTCCACAGAAGAAAGACGCTTATACAGGTTTAGATGACATGACATTTTAGGCTGCACTGTTTCTTTTAAACCTCAAAGTAACTGTTTCAGTCATTATGCAAATGCTACCTAAGTATGCATTTAGTCAAGCAGACCATGTATTCCACTGTTGCCATTCGCTAGAGCACATTTTCACCACTGTGAAAGGCTTTAATGTATAGCAGCGATGTGCTAATTGACCCGGGATACTCTTGATCCCATCAGTCAGCCCTGAGTCGTTCCCTCACCTGTTCCTTCTCCTCTTGCTTATCTGATCAATTCAGCCCTTTGATGCAAAAAAACACTGAATCACTTGCATCGTGTCTGCATTTACCCAGGGTGCATAAAAAAGCCACAGCATCCCAGTTCCGCCTAACTGGGATGCTGTGGCATCTTTATGCACAAATGTTCTGAAAAATGTTTGGCATTGATCCTAACTGTCTGTTCTCTTAAATAAGCGAAGCTGCTAAGGCTATAGCGCCGACTTTGTTCGTTCTAGTAAGCTAGGCTCTCCTCAGCGGGGTGGTGGCGACACTGGGATCAGTCTCATTAAATGCATGACCACACGGCCTCATCGCTCCATCTCCAGCAAACTTCTAGCATCCTCATTATAGCACCAACCGGCTGACAATAACAAGCCTACAGCTCAGGGCTTTGTTTTCTGAATTCTGTGAGGAAAAAAAAAAAAAGATTTATTTTCTTGTCTGCTCAAAAGTGCTGTTGATCAGACGTGTCACTCAGTTGTAATGGGGAACATGCAGTTCGTTTCACGATACATTTGATGGCGAGAGCGCACCTGGAGGGTTTTGTTAGTGCAATTCGTTTCTATTCATTTTATCAATAACATACAAACCAATCCAGACCTAACGTGAGATTGTTACGGCTTTTGTAGAATGTGTTTAGTTGAAAACAGTAATCACAAAGAAAGATGTGGCAATCAGAAAAGTCACTGTTCCTTGAGGAATCGAATTGACTAGAAGTTTTTAGAAACATATTTTTTCCCATCTACCTCTAGAACTGTGAAACATGTGTTGGTAATCTCTAAATACGATCTTTCATTCAGTCATAAAGCCGATCCATGTATCAACAGCAGTCCTCCATGACCTAGCCAGGCAACAAGAAGGTCAGATAAAACCTTGAACTTCTCATGTCAAAAGCCTCATCATTTAAACATGAGAGACATTATATTACAGACGAGACCAGACTCTAGTTTGGGATAACAAGCAAACAGCTGGTTCTCAGCCAGCTCAAGTGTCGACCACATGGCTCCATTTCCCCAGGAGACGAGAGCGACATGCAAATTTAAGAGGCAATAATTAAGAAATCTCTGTTCATGGCTGAGGGTAATGACATATGATGCAAGAAGAACATAACGCATCTAAATCAACCACTCACTGAGTTTCCCATCAGGCCGATGCACCCGATAAGACTGCAAAGACAAAAAACACTGGGCTATTCAAGCAGAATATTCTCAATTTTGGGCAAACAACTATATCATATATCAAATATCAAGATTAAGGAGCCGCAGCTGGTCCAGGGGCCTGGATGATTGCTGTGCAATATAAAGGCTAGCACATTTAATTCCTCAGGTTGTTTGGTGAAACGGTGTAAGGTGAAAGGAGCGAATGAGAAACAGCTGGGTATTTCAGAGAACCACTGAGATTTCATTGACCACTGACAAACCGCTGACAAATCACAAACGCAAATATTCAATTCTATGTAATTATCTGACTTGGAAATAGCTCTGAAATTTCCAGCAATAGTGTGACTCCTATAGCGAGCTACTGGGGAAAAAGTGGAGGGTTTTATGAAGAAAGAAAGCTGAAAATGCACTGCTAGTGATCCATGTGTCGTTTATGCATTTTGTGTAGTCACGTGACTTCAGTGCTGGTTCAAGTGGATTTATTGAGGTTATTACCAAAGCACAGTTGATCTAGAACTAATTTAAATGTTCTTTAGACATAGCCTAGCAATTAAATAATTTAGAGCCCGACCGATAAAGGATTTTGAAGGGCGATACCGATAAAACATTTGTTGGTTTTAAAATCCGATATTGCGATATATCGGCCGATTTTGTTTTTTTTTTGTTTTTTTTCAGAAACGCGCAAGAAAACATTAACAGATTTCCCTAACATTAGTTATTTGTAGTCATTTATGAGTTTTAACTAAAATAACTATATATAACTATAACTATATATATATTAAAGTATAACTGATAAATAAAATAATAATCAGTCCCTACATTGCCTTATAAGCTGCCTGCAACCGGACGTGTGGCGCGTTATACACGAGTGTTGCCAACAGGGACGGTGTGCCCTTTGTTGGACAAACTATACAACTCCAACACTCATGACATGGTTGAAGCGTGTTTCGTCCGTTTTTGTTTAATTTTTAAATATTCATTTATCGGCCATTATAACTGCCGATACCGATAGTTTGTAAAATGCCTAATATCGGCCGATAATATCGGCCTGCTGATAAATTGATCTGGCTCTATAAATAATGACCACAAAATAATTTCTATGTATAAATGGTAATATACTCTACCATTCAAAAGTTGAATTTCAGTAGTTTTTTTTTTTTTTTAAGAAATTAACACTTTTATTCAGCAGGGATGAAATAAATTGATAAAAAGTGACAGTAAAGACATTTATGTTGCAAAATATTTATATTTCAAATATATGTTTGTTTGTTTGTTTTTTTCTTAATATATGTCAAAGAAAACTGGGGGGGAAAAAATCTGGATTTCCACAAAAATCAGCAGCACAGCTGTGAAACTTACCAGTCTACTTCTCAAGAGAAAAATCAAGAGGAGACTTGCACCAAAATCTCCAGTTAATCGTCATTTAATCTCACTTTTATCTAGGAGAAATAATTGGGATATAGATGCACTTCTGATCTCATCTCATTTATGATTTTTCATTGGGGCAGGATTGTGGCGCATTGCATAAGGCTTTGTGTGAATCTGCTCGCATTTCTAGCTTGATATTATCAAAACCGAAATTTATTTACATACTATGATTGATGGCGGTTGAAATGCATGGCCCTTTTTTTAATTGCATATGAATATTAGCTACAAAAATCTAATTAACCTTATCAGCTCTCTTTTAGAAAGTGCGCAGCAGACCGTAGAAAATTATTGACAGCGGATCAAATTAACAGCTATCAGTAAATGTTTATGCTTTGTTAGAATGTGAGTGTGTGTGTTACTCACCTCATAGTGGGCGACTCTCTGTGACTCAGAGATAAGCTGAGCGCTGCACACTTTGCAGTAGCTGTCAGTGAATAACCCCGGATCCACTTCCGTAGACTTCATCTGAAGAGGAATATCAGTGCGAGTATGGTTATTGGTTTCCAACATTCATTAGAGACACTCCAAACTAGATGAGGTCTGAAGTCTTGAGAGACCTTAATATTTATATTTGTGATAATGATTTTTTCCTAATATAATTATCACAAGAAAAAATAAACCCTATAAAATGTATCTTTCACAAGTCAATCAATCATGCAAGAATTCATCGCTGTGACATTTTGGGTTTGTCGTAGAGTGACATTCTTTGTGCAAACTGATGTATTCTGTGACATTTGGATTTTGGAAAAAGGAGAGGGAGGTTGGGAGGGGTGTATAATGAGACAGACAATAGGAGAGATAAATCTGGCACCGCTCTGTGTCAAAAGAGGCAAAAATTCACAACTATATATGCCTGAAGGAGAAAGAGGCATACTGTGGTAGACATCTTTTTAGTGCTGATCTGGGACCATCTGACGCCAACCTTGCCTAATACTGACCTTATTAATCTAGACACTGCAAAATGATTGTAGGTCATAATAAGGAGATTTTAATGACAGAAGGAGGTGAGGTCATCCATTCGGACCATGCTCTCGTTTGGAAAGCTCCTGGCACCTGACAGAGATCTTAAAGGGATAGTTCATCCAAAAATGAAAATGATGTCATGTAACTCGTGTAATTTCAAATTCAAACCTCTATTATTTTCTTCATTCTTTGAAACCAAAAAAGTAGATATTTTGAAGAGTGTTTCTACTGGTTTTGTTAAAAGTGTAGTTGACCCAATGTGCGTGTTGTATTGTTCATCAATGTGGTAAACACTTGCTTATCCTGAATTCCGCAACCTGTATTAAATGATAATTGCGTTCGCTTGCAAGATCTCAATTGGGAAGATTGACTTTTTACAGATTCCCAACATTTGAGTTCCCATGCGTACGTCATTATGCAACAGAAAGATTGCGCTCCAGACTGCTGTGAACGCGCTCAGGAACGTTTGCCAATAATTAACTGATTATTATTGGATATTAATTGGCTGCTCTACATTAAATTATTGGATTACAGGTAATAATAATATTGTAAATAATGTTCAGTTTCTTGCACAGACCATAAGACCATAAGATAAGGCAGGAGTGGTGATGGCGCAGTGGATAAGACACATGCCTTTGGTGTGAGACTCGGGTTCGAATCCACTGTAAGACACCAATGTGTCCCTGAGCAAGACACTTAACCCCTAGTTGCTCCAGAGACGCGTGACCTCTGACATATATAGCAATTGTAAGTCACTTTGGATAAAAGCGGCAGCTAAATGTAATAAGACCAATGAATCATCAGGAACCACGTGTATTAATTTTGTGTTGCCTTTATAGGTTTTTTTTTACTCTTAAACTGACCCATTGACTTGCATTATACACGGTAAATCACCAAGAGGATGGCCTGAGGATCAGGAAATTAACAGCAAATTAAAATCTTTGGGTGAAAAAAATTAAACCATCCCTTTAATTGAGTAGTTCACTTGGAAAAAAAACGTTTGCTGATAATTTACTCACCCCCATGTCATGCAAGATGTCCATGTCTTTCTTTCTTCAGTAGAAAAGAAATTAAGATTTTTGATGAAAACATTACAGGATTTTTCTCCATATAATGGACTTCAATGGACCCCAACAGTTTCAAGGTCCAAATGACAGTTTCGGTGCAGCTTCAAAGGCCTTTAAACGACACCAGACGATAATAATGTTAATACACGTATAATATTGACATTATTATAAGTGAACCCCAAAGAAAATCCATGTCATTATACCTTCAAAGGTTCTTCATAGAACCAGATACCAATAAAGAACACTTATTTTTAAGACTGTATTATAAAAAAACTGAAAAATTACACAGACAATAAGGCATACAAAATGGCCTACTTTAAAATCAGCTTTAAAAAAACAAACAAGGCTATAATTGTACAATTTACATGTTTTCCACATGCTTTGATGACTCTTTACTCCTTCACATCCATTTTGAGATTGTCATGGGAGATATTATGGTGCTCTAGATTCGACTTCAGGGGGCCAGATCTTTGCAAACAATTGCTTAGGGCTCATTTGTGATTCAAGGGCATAGCCAACTGAAATTTGGAGAATGATAAAATAGGTTTATATGTATAAAAAAACAAAAAAATATTGGTTGTTTTCCCAACCCTTTTTCTCACCCTAGGGGTAACTTCAGACCAACTAAGTATCCCATAACTATTCAGACAAATTGTTTAAAGTCAGAAAGAAAGTCTGTGACCCTCTGATGCCCCCCAAAAACTAAATAACACCCTGCAGCATCCAGCAGTCCATGAGTTTACACTCAATATTCCAAAATCATTACTTCCATAAAAAAGCCATCTATCCTCTCTCAAAAGCAAATAATTGCCTTCTCACTTATGCATTGAACTTTTGATTCATATAATAAGTTGCTTCCTCAAAAGTAAAGCACTGAATTATGGATTGAACTGAAGTAACTGTTACTACAAAAGCCCTTCTAAATGATAATCAATGGGTCAAATGGAGTTCAGAATAGCACCTGGTAATTTCTTAGAAATTTAACCTTTAATTTAGAAGTGTGGGATTACAACAGTTTAAGTATACCATGATTGGAGACTTTACCTGTGAATAACTTTCTCAACATATCAGGTGTCACTCCAAAGACGTTCTAGGAATCCACATGCCTGAAATCTTACAAACAAAGATCAAGAGGAAACAAGTAGGCAAGTATTTTACTTTTTAGAAAGAAAGATTTGGCCAGATCTGGTTTTCTGAAGAGATAGATCTTATAAAAGTCTCTCCTGTCAAAGTTAATCTTGTCAATAAAAGCTCCGGCTAACAAAAGCCCTGACCAGATGAGCATGACGCTCTTCTTTCATGTGTGAAAAAGTGATTGCTTGCCTCGCGTAAACCCCACAACCACATATTGATTTCCCTTAAGTTAGGGGTGGGGGGTGGGGGGGGAAGCAATTTCCATTATTTTGAACATTGTAATGGAGAATGAAGTGAGGAGAAAAATATATCATTGAGAGGAGGCACAGGAGAGCAGGTGCTTTCTTTTTATTCCTTCAAAACCCACCATTTCTGAGATGAGAAGACAGTTGATACTGTAAGATACCGGCATCATGATATGCTGACACTGACTGTGCTTACATTAGAATATCACTGAATTACAATAATATTCACTGAAATGCAAGAATATTCAAGATAACCCATTAATGGAAACATATGGCCATATTCTGATTATGCACGAGAGCCATAAACATGATTGCCATAAAAACCAGATTAAACCAATATTCCAGTTTAGACATCTTAGGAAAGCTGACATATTCCTGTGTTATTCAGAACTTTTAAAAATTACAACTTAAATATGAACACTCCAATTTGATATACTGTATAGGCTATACCCAAAAACGTATTTGTGGACAACACTTGTGATCCAATATAGAAGACTCCTTTGCAGTTGCTTGACATTATGGTGTTTAAATAATACTCAGCTTTATATTCGAGATTTAGTAGCATTAAAAACGTATTTAAAATATAGTAGTATTAGTAATAGGCTAGTAGTAATAATGGCAGTCGTAGTAGTAGGCTATAGTACAATAATAATAAACTAAACGAAATTAAGAAAGTTGCGCCTGTTCAAGCTCATGCATTTTGATAAATGCATGAGAAATAATGAACATTTTCTTAAAACTGAAGAGAAAGCTTACTTGTAATTCCAAACTGTATCCTCGATGCAGTTGATCGGAACCCACGTTCAGATGAGGGCTGATACAGTCCATAGAGTGTGTGTGTGTGTGTGTGTGTGTGAGAGGTGATGCTGCGCGCGTGCTGTGTGTGTGCGTGTGTCACAGGGAGCTCCATGTTCGTCAACCGCTCAGTCTCCGCCCCCGGCGTGCTCATTGGCTGCTGCTTCCGCTAGAAATCGGCAACGTGCCAATAAAAATGTAATTAAATTAATCCGTGAGCATCTGAAATTTTTAAGAACGTGAGTTATTTAAAATGCGTTACTTACAAACCTTATGTTCTAATTTTTGTTCAATTTATTGTAGTGAAGACTGAATCCAACCATTTGGGATATGGAAGGATAACAACGATAAAAAGTAACGCAACAAAAGATAAACAAACAGTTTCGGTGTGAGATGGGCGGAAGATTGCAAACAAATTTCATGCATCCAAAAGAAGTATATTCACAGTACACAGAAAAGAGAACTCTTTTATGTCTAGGCCTACTGTGAATATAGCCTAGGCCTACTTCTTTTGGATGCATGAAATTTGTTAGATCATACCTGTACTTTTATTGCCAAAGTCTACTTTGGCAAAAAAATAAAAATAAATAAATAATAAAAAAAATATATATATATATATATATCTGATATGGTCTGATCTAAATAATGTTAAACACAAACATATTTAGAAAATAAATGTAGGCTAACGTTAATTGAATTGATGATTCATTAGTGCAGGCTTGACAAACAGATTGGAAGTATAGCTATTAGGGTCATTTCTTTGCAGCATCTTCATGTCCCCATCGAATATGTATGTCTAATGTATTGAAATAAACGTAGGCCTACGTTTTTAAAGATTTTACAATTTTACCACTTTATTTTCACCCTGTTTAGATTCCTGTTAAAATGATTACATTATGATAAAGTTAAAGTGCATAAGCCTGAAAAGAGCGTGCTTGGTATAGCCTATACTTTCTTAAAAAGCATCTCCTTACATTTGACACAAGCATCATTTTGTAAAGTCGCAGGGTTCAACAGGTACGGCATAAAAAGGAATAAAGTAGGTGCTTCCCTCTATTGGGAATCTGGTGTAAGTGCATGGATGGAGATGATGGACGCAGCTGTGTTATTACCTTAATCAGTTGATTGCTTTACATGATACCCTATATAAACATTCGGCTGTCATACATCATATGATGCTTTTGAGACATTGAAATGTTTATAACACTTTCTACAGGCTTCACAATCACTGACTGTATCAGAATAAAGGTCAGGCCTTGATTGTGGAAATAAGAGATCGGGAATTCCTTGAGCCAATATATCAGCCTATTGAGTGACAGTCATAAATTAGAACAAACTGTTTTTCAAATTTGTCTTATGTTGAAAGACCGAACTTGAGATTTAAAGCCTGATTTTTTTCTCTCTCGGTCATCGTGGGGAGAGCTTTTCCTCAGACAGGCTCCAAACCAACTGAAATAATGAGAGAAATAAAATAATAGATGATGTAAAGATTATTCTACTGAAAATCTTTACTTCTCTTGTTATGAGCTAAATGTAATTCAACTCCACAGCTTTACCCCATTCTCATTTGTCAATGTCATAAATGAAACATATGAAAAATATGTGTTTATATCCCAGAGGTATGAGAGGCCATCAGCTGATTTATGAAATCCTTCCCTCCTGCCAAAATCTGCTCTCACCTCACAGTAGGGTCAGGTCTGTATGTCGAGACTTGCAAGAGCAAATCAAGTCTACAACTCCCATCTCTGCCAAATCCATGATCCACGACACCCAAGCCAGTTATCATCTGTCCTGGTTATGTTAAAACTGAAATGCATGCCGTCCGAATTTAAAGGGATACTCCACTCTTTTTGGAAATAGGCTCATTTTACAACTCCCCCAGAGTTAAACAGTTGAGTTTTACCATTTTCGAATCCATTCAGAATATCAGTAACCAGACAGTTTCTGGTCTCATTGACTTCCATAGTCGGAAAAAATATATACTATGGAAGTCAATGAGACCAGAAACTGTCAGGTTACTGATATTCTTCTAATGTGTTGTTTCAACTTAAAAAGTATGTGTTCTTGCTTGACTTAAAATATTACGTTTGGTTAACTTTAGTTAGTTAAGTTGGATATTTAAGTTATCTCAACCAATTATTTAGTTGTTATAAATAACTGCAGATGTGTCTTTAGAAACTGGGAGAGTCCCTCCGAGCCCTGAACATTATCAGGAAGTTATACCAAATATCGATACATCATGTTCTTGAAGATGTCTAAATAAACCATTCTTGAGTCATTTACTTCTATTACGCAGGACATTTCTTGGACCCACAGTTTTGAGAAATACTACACCAGACGAGACAGCATTCCTTCACTCCCACCCGCAGGCGTCGAGAAGGCCATTTGTTTGATAAAATTGTGAGAAGTTGAACAAAGTGAGTCAGATTTATCTCTATGGCTCAGGTTTTGCTGAAACTGATCAGTTTGGATTCTTGCATGCTAATTAACACTCATAATAACACTGGCGGACATTGAATTGGAAACAGTGATGGCACCAATATTCAGAGTCTACGCATCCCATCTGGCAGAATTTCGCAGTTGGCATGTGTGAGAACTTCACTCCAAACCCCATGTGGAAGTATGTTTGCCGCAGAGCCCATCTTACCTCAGTTGCTATCCTGTGAGAGCATCATATTATTTATGGCTTTTAATAGGCTTTTTTTTCTCTCTTTTCAAGGCTGGAGGCAAAGGAGCAAGTCTTTTTCATTCAATAAAGCTGGGAAATATGCAACAGCAAAGCCAACAGCTGCTTCTAATGATCATCCCATAGAGTCTGGCAGTCAATGTCATCCCAGAGCACAAAGCACTGCTATTTGCTTAACCTGGATAAACCATCACTATGCTTTTGCATGAGCTGGGATTGGTCGACTTCTCCTGGGGGTTACACGCACTCAGGTTTTTGCCACTTGCCATGTATGGATTTTCTTTCGAAACGTGTTCCCTGCAGATGATTTCATAATGGGTTGTATCAACTCGAATTGATGTCAAAACAAAAGTTTGTGGGGGTCTTCAAATGTAACTGAACAGTTTTAAAGGAATGTTCCTGGTTCAGTGCGAGTTAAGATCCATGGACAACATCTATGGCATGCTGTTGAATACCACATAAACTCTTCCTTCAATTTGTAAAATCACACAAAAATGCACGGTAACACTTTACAATAAGGTTCCATTAGTTAACATTAGTTAATTCATTAGTTAATATGAACTACATAAACTAATATAAACCTACATAAGCTATGAAGCTACATAAACTACTATAAATATGTACAGGAAAACAGTAAAGCTATTTACAGGCACTGTTCATGGTTAGTATGTTAACTAATGCATTAACTAATGTTAACTAACCGTGCTGTTAATGTGAATTGATGCATTAGTATATGTGTGATTTAACGTTAACAAATTAACTAATGCTGAACAGAGATGTTGTTCATGGTTAGTTCACTAAAAACTCCTGGGTTATTTCTCCAACCCATTTTCTGGGTTATTTGTGTTGGGTCAAAATTATGGGTTATTTTTTTTTCAGAGAGTAACCCTTTTCTAGGTTATAGGGCTATGTTTTGACCCAATTCCTGGGTTGTTTGGGTTTCTGGGTTATTTTTCAAAGAGTAACCCGTACTCTGGGTTATAGGGAAGAACCCAATTTTCTGGGTTGAAATAACCCAGAAATTAGGTCCCTTTTTAACCCAGGATTTGGGTCAAAATGAACCCATTATGGGTTATTTTTGACCCATGAGTTTTTAGTGTGTAGCTAATGCATTAACTAATGGAACCTTATTGTAAAGTGTTACCAAATTTGCTTACAAGTCTATGGGACACGACATTCTAGAAGGTCCATAAACTTGTATTTAAATTAAGTTATTAATCCATATTATATTCATTTGTATATTAACAATATTTAAGAGGAGAATTGTCTTTTTTTAAGTCATGAAAAAACTAATTTCAATCATTCTGTGATTGAAATGATGTTAGTAGAAATTACATATTGAACATTTTTCTGTCCTCTTTTTTCTCTGCTGAGGCTAAGTTTGAAGCATCTTATGTCTCCTAAATACACACACACACACACACACACACACAACTTTTTTGCATAATTTGACAAAAACAGCTTGATTGGAAATGACTTTTTGCTTACAGTTGTAATCAAACTTATTCAAGCCCCATTGCAAATCAGGTTTATTGGCAAAATTTACAGACATGCAGCTGTTTGCAATGAACAAATCAAACAAAAATAATTGACTGAGCTCAACACAACAAATGTTTAAAATCCCCCAAATTCAACTGAAAATGCAACTTTTAATGACTTCTGCAGTCTCAAAAATCATTCAACCGCTTCATTGCAAGCATCTTTAGAATTTAGTAACACCCTTTGTTGTTCTGACCTGCAGTGAACGAGTTGTATGGCACATCAGCTTCTGGCAGCGTTTCCAAGGAATCTTAACCTATTCCTCATGAGCAATGGCCTCCAGTTCAGTCATATTCTTGAGTTTGCGTGCTGCACCCGCCTTTTTCAAATCCCACATTTTCTATGGGGTTCAAGTCAGGTGACTGTGATGGCCACTGTAAAATATCCCAGACCTTCGGCAACCAAGCCTTTGAGGTATGCTTAGGACTATTGTCCTGTAACTGTTGGAAGGTCCAATGATGCCCAACCTTCAGCTTCTTCATGACGGCATAACGTTTTCTCCTATGATTTCCTGAGACTTCAAGGAATCCATCTTGCCTTCCACACACATCAGTTTTCCAGTGCCAGAGGATGCAAAGCAGCTGCAGATCCATAGGGCCGAAAATATACCGCTGATCCATAGGGCCGAAAATACGTTGTTTCAGAATCCCAAAACTTCTGTGACTTATTCATATGATTTTGAGCAAATTGGGACCACATTTTTGGGTCAGTAGTGGTGTTCGTCTTGGAGTTCTGGCTTGGAACCGCTTTGCGTTTGGGACACGCCTTGCAGCTGAAACCTCAGTGCCTGTTGCCCCCAAGTCTTGCTGCAGATCCAGTCGCTCGAGGGTTTTT